ACTCACATGCAACTCACATAAAAAGCAGGTGACGCTATGATCATCTGGTTGTAGCTACACCAGCAATTAAATCACATGAACATCAATGGAGGGGTGGGAGGGGATTAACATAATCCATAATCAGATTGCAACCCCTGTCTAGACATCCACTCATCTTTGGAGTGCTTTAGAATGCTTCTTTTGGGTTTAATTTTGGAAAGATAATTCAGAGTTGCTGATCTCAATGCGTTCTAGATGTTTTGTTCTTTTAAAAATGTTCTTTTAAAAATACCAATATCAGTATAAGACATAGAAGCTGCAGAAGATCCACTAGTATCCTATAAAAAAGATTACCCCCCACCCCCACCTCCACCCCCAACATAATGGTATCTATAGAAAAGTTATCGATTAAATAACATGCATTTCTCCCTTGGGCATTTGTACAGTTGTGACATTCCCAATTCTCTACATCTGTTAATCCCAGTGCATCTTTCCTCCAAAATATGGTATAATTATCACTTAAAATTTCTTTTAGAAAAAGAGAGATTGTTGAGTATTCCACTGAGCAAAAATAAATGGCTAATAATGCTTGCTCTTCTCATGAGTATAGTATGTTACATATTTATAATACAAGTGATGTAGTGCTGTGCCAAGATATCCGAAATGCATTTCTCCCTCTAGGCTTCTTCCAGAAAACATCTGCCTTGATTTCCTGTTTCTTGGTCTTTTTTTGATTTGTCCCCAAGTCCATTTCTTTATACGCTCTCTTCCTTTCAAAATGACAGATGGCAACAATCTGTTTTAGAGACACACATACACTCTAAGGATCTTCATTTTTACGTATTATCATCCTAGTGAAACAAGGACGACATATTATCAAGATCTTTATGCACAGTTTGTTGCAATAGCTTAAAAAAAATATAATGAAGCAGATTCCACATGATGTATGTATCTACTGGTCTAGCTTACTAGATAATGATCTTTTTCATTCTCTAATATCCATTGTTTTTTCTGGGAGAACACCCACAGACACACTTACATGCTATTGTAAGCTTCCTTATAGTATGTGTGAAATAAAATATTCACAAATAATTAAGAATAAACTATAGTCAGTGCAATGGAACTTACTTTCAAGTAAACATTCATAGGATTCAAATGAATTCACTGTATGAAGTTCTTCAGCCATTTTAGTTAACAACTAAAAGTTAACAACTCTTGTTTTCAAAAGGGGCGAACTGGGGTTTTAGAATCTAGCCACCCCCACCTAACCCACCCAGTGTCAGTGGAGAGCTGTAGGGTCCCTCACGTGTGAATCTGGGACTCCCTCCTAGGAGTGAGAGTCTGGGAGGGAGTCTGGGAGTGTATGAGGATGTGAGGATCCACCTCCTGGGTGAAAGACAGGAGGTGTGAGTGAGTGAATGGGATGCCTGCCCTGCCGACTAGTGAGAGAGGTTGTGCAGGGGGACAGAGCATGATAGCAGTGTAAGGTCTGGTGGGGGGTGGGTCCCAGCCGGTGCCGAGAGCATGAGCTGGTGTGCAGGTGGGAACTTCCCTCACCTGGGAGTGTCTGGTTCTGAATGAGGATGTCTGATTGGAAGGAGGAACCTTTACCCCGGAGGTCCAGGAGTGGAGGTACTTGGGCCTAGTACCCCCGGGGACTATGCAGTGGGCTACACTATTGAGGTGGTGAGGGGTAGGGGATGATATTGCGGGAGCTGGAGGGCAGGCCATCTTCGGGGAAGATGCCCGTAGTGTGTGTTACCGGTGGTGTGTTCTGGCCCTCCTTGCTCATTCCCAGGCCCTGGTCAGCAGATTCATAGGGGCCCTGGCCTCTGGCTGCTGCTGCTTAATGCCAGGTCGGTTAAAAACAAGGCCCCCCTCATATGTGACTTGATCACCAAGGAGGGGGCAGACCTGGCATGTATTACCGAGATCTGGCTGGGCCCCGAATGGGGGGTGCCCCTCTCATAAATGTGCCCAGCTGGGTTTATGGTGTGGCACCAGCCAAGATGCCAAGGCAGGGAGGAGGGGTGGCTGTTGTCATCCGAGAATCTCTGGTGGCCTTCAGGGGCATTGCTCCACAAGTCTCCGGCTATGAGACACTGTTCTTTAGGTTGGGTTCCCGCAAACAGTTGGGAGTACTACTACTGTACCAGCCTCCCTGCTGGGTGGCAGCCTCCCTGCCTGAGGTGCTGGAGGCCATCTCAGGGCCGGTAGTGGAGTTCCCCAGGCTTATGGTTCTGGGGGACTTCGACCTGCCATCCCTGGGACAGTCCTTGGAGACGGCTCGGGAGTTCATGGCTACCATGGCAACCATGGACCTGTCTCAAATTGTGTGGGACCCAACCCGAGACAGCGGCCACATGCTGGATTTGGTCTTCTTGTTGGAGCAATGGCAAAGTGATCTGAGGGGAGATTTACAGCTTTCCCTTTGTCATGGTCAGATGATCACGTCCTGGTGACCCTGAGTTTCTCCTATGCCACCCCCCTCTGCAGGGAGGACCCATGCAATTGGTCCATCCCTGGAGCCTGATGGACCCATTGGGGTTTCAGAGGGTTCAGCAGGTTGAACGCTCCTTCAGAATGGGGAAGAAAGCTGGGTTCTGCCAACTCTCCATGCTTCTGCCAACATGGGTGCATTTTTTTTTCTTACTGTTTTATTACTTTGGTGTCAAGTGGCACCTTTTTGTCTACTCTATGGGCTATTTCTGGGTGTGACCATCCATGGCAACTCATTGCCAGCATTACTATTTCCTTGCACCACTATTCAGGGATGGAGCTTACTCAGGATGAGCACTCCTTTCAATTTCATTCTATTCCTCTTTTCTGTTTCTGTGTTCTATCAGGTAGTCTATTTTCTAAATACCAATTTAGTCGAATTTCAGAACAGCACTAGACCCATATGCAGAAATAGCCCAACTGACAGGTTGCAGGCATAGGGCACTTTTGCCCCTGCAACCTGTCAGTCAGACAATTGATAGCAGGCTAAACCTGCTATTCTAAGTTTCTCCCTATATCCTCTTTCTCCTTCACCCGTGCAATTTTCCTAATCTCACAAACATATTCTTCCTCTTTTCCCTGTGAACTGAAATATAAGGGATAATTATTGAATAACAATGAAGAGATAGAATAAAATACAAAGCTGGGTACTTAAAGTTTTGACAAATATTTGTTCCTTGCAATAGATCACATACTGACCACCCACCAACTTTCTGCCAGCATTTGCATGTTTATAAAAAGAAATTCCCTCATTCCCTCATATTTAGTAAAAATTCTACCATGTTACATGCTTACTCTACTTGCTCTAGGTTTTCATCTACTGACAACTGTTCACTTCATTCTCCCTGTCACACACAATTGCCTTGGGCTTAATATCAATTTTCAGACGCCTATTCCTCATTGCATCATATAATCAAACATTTGCTGCAAATCAGTTGCTCGGCCAACAGCATGGCATCATCTGCATATAAACATGCCTATCCATTCATGATCCCAATTGCAGACTTCTAACATCAGCATGCTATTCCTTATACATTTATCCCATGGCTATCCCCCGTTATGAACCCAATCTATGGAAGAAGGGGTGAGGCTAGCCCCACCAGAAGTGGAAGAAGCAGACCTTATGCACTGTATCAGAAGTCTCACTTCACTATAAAACTGGAAATGAAGCTTGTCAATTGACACTCAAAAACTCACCCCAGCACACTGGATGGGTCACTTAAGTAGCCCTAACCCTACAAAATTATGTCATAGATCACAGTTCAATCCAGGCTAATTTACCTCAATTTCTTTTCTGTTTTCTACTATTTCAAGAAACATTAATTGTTGTGTTGACTTAATTTATTCTTTTCAAGTAATTTTGTTAAAGATTGTAATTACAGTAGTAAAAACTAATACAAACTAAAAGAAACATAGAAAAAAGGAAACGTGCAAAGGGAAAAGCTCCTGAAGATTTGAGTTCCTGCAGCCCCACACAGACTTTCTCCTCTGTGCATGGAAAGGAGGCGAAACCTCTCGGCCGTCTGCAGGAATGGAGCTCAAATCCTGAAGATCCTTAACCACTAGACTAAACAGGCTCTCTATTTCCATTAAAGTTGTTCTGCATTTTTCTACTTTTTTAAAAATGTGAACAGTTCCTTGCTCTCTTTGACTGTGTTCGATGTGCATATTTATTTCTCTCTATTCCCATTATACAAATACTGTTTTTTGGTCTTACATTTATCAGTCATTTTCTTCTATGCATTTTTCTGCATCTAGAGCTTCTTTCACTTCATTATTCCACTAAATTTTCTTTTTTATACTTCCCATTTGCTTAACTCCCCACATTTCTGTGGCTCTTTGTAACATTATTATTTTTACTCTAATCCAAGAAACTTTCACATTCTCTTTCCTTATGGGAGATTAATCTTACTTTTATTCTATTTTCATACAGGACTTTGTGCTTTCTGTCCCTTCAGTCATTCTACTTCACTCTAGTTTCTTTCACTTCTTTCCTTTTCTTCCATGACCATCTTTTCCCAAGAACTATTCTTAAGAAAGAATGGTCTGTACCACATTCAGAATCACTCATCATCAATATGGTATTGTATAATAAATAAAGACAACATGCATAATTTAAGTTACCTGTGCTTGATCAATATATAGTTTTTCATCATAGTCATATAAATTATCCAGATCTTCGAAAGCTACTTCATATGTTTCGGAACCGTAAGTTACAGAATTCATTGTAGGAGCAGCCACAATCGCATCAAAGATAAAATATCCCATGAGAATCCCTGCAAAAGCTTTCATTCTTCAAACCTTTTGAGGGGAAAAATATATATTAAAGTGCTGATTACCAATCTAATTGCAGTCTAAGAAATGTTAGCATTGCATTACACTGAATCATGTTAGTTAGAATGCTAATGAACTAAGGTGTTTCTAAAATCAGATGTATGGCTGGAAATTAGCCATTTAAACTGAAGTAAAATTAGAATGGACATGTTTCAGAAGAATGGTTTCTTTATTTTTGCTGTATAAAAGAACTCTTTCAAATGTATTTATGTATTTCATATAAAAATCTCCAAATCTAACTCAACTCCTGGGGTCTTCATGGAGATTTCCACAGGGAAAGTGGGTAGGTAATTGTGCTCTGGACTCATTACAGTCTGCAAGGGACATCCCATACTACAAGAGGGAGTTGTGTATGTTACTGGAATGGTACTTTCATAATAGTAAGATGCTTTCTGGGATTTCCAGACTAGTTAGAGGCTAGCTAGAGCAGTGAGCATATAACAATGCATCTAGCAATGAGGACATGCTCTCTCATGTGGAAACTCCCCAGCACAGGTATCTAGATACAGTTTAGTTCTAGGACATATTTTAAGACTACTATAGCTTAGGGCTAATCTGCACAGCCTGGCTGTCTTGTCATCAGAATGGTCAGGTAACCATTTCTGGAGAATATACAATAGGTTAAAGTGACTTGTACTTTTCTGCTCCACTTTCAAAGCATTTCCATGTTATGCTGCCTCTAGTGCTCCTATCTGTTTTGGACAGCATACTTAAGTTGGTCGCAGGCTAATCCCAGCAGTTCATTGGTTATTTTGCAAAGAAAAGAATACTGAGTTCATCTGAGTCAATGCTTGTGTATGTGTGTGTGTGTGTGTGTGTGTTCAATTTTACTTTGTATATATGGATTGTGTGCGTGAGTGTAATTTACCTCCAGAAAGAGCCATGCACAGGAAGGGAAGTAATTGGCAATTGGAACAGAAAGGTGGGAGAGCATGTTCAGTGGGAAGAGATAGTAGCTGGCAGTCCAGACTGAGTACCTATGGATTTGGATTTGGATTGAGGCAATTAAATTCCTCATTGGAGGTATGCTCCCCAAACATTATACTGCAGAAGAACTCACCAAGATTATATTGCAGAAGAATTACCCAGGCATGATCATAGCAACTCATGGTTAAATATGCAGGCTGCTACAATGGGATGGAAGCAAATATTTGGTAATGAAAATTCAGCCAAGAAAGGTAGTTCTTTCAAATGATTCATACCTATAAATTTTATCTCCTTTCCTTGACATTTAAACCAGATTTAGATGAGTATTTTTTTTTTATAATGACTGGGTTTATAATGCAGTTAAAATTAACCTCCCTTTGTTATTTCCACCCCGCATATCATTGATTGTAATGGAACTAAAGCAATGAATACTTATTTGAATATTGATCATAAATGTTCTGACTTTAAAGCAATATATTTCCAATTTTAAATATTGCCAAATGAAATTTCATTTTCATTCTTCACATATACTGAACAATAGAAATACTGATATGGGAGGAAAAATATGTATAAATCTGATGTCTGAAAACAGAAGTCTTCATTCATGCCTTTAAAAAAATATATTTTTAAACTGGGCTCATAATATTAGAAATTCATGAAACACTTTTACTGTTGAGGTTGCCTAGACTCAAGCATACTGATATTAAACTCTTGAAAGAAGGCCGTTGTGAAACAGATTTCTCATGAAGGTATGAAATTCCAGCGGGGGTAGTAAACAGCACAAGGCACTCATTTTTCTCTTGTATGTTTTCAATTTTTTTGAAATAGCCGGTAGACAGAACTTGCAGGCAGCTAAATCCCTTTACTCTTATTTAAAGGTTAACTGTATTGCACTTTTCAGCAATGATTTATTTAGAATACTCTTTTGTATATCATGCTAATAAAAGGACTAAATGTTTCAGTGACTGGACAAACATAATAGATATCTCGGTATAAACATTAAATGAACAAGCTGAGGCGGCTTTTTTCTCTCTATTTACATATTATCCCAAAAGGTGTACTGAGTTTTACAAGTTCATATTCTAGGGCTATTATTACTACCATAAATGTTATCTAGAAATTTTAATATAGAAGGACCTTGGGTAATTATTTGTTTGACATTCTGAATTTGATGGTCTAAACATATACTTGAAAAATTGAGTCTATAAGATGATATATTGAACTCTGAGCCATATGAACTCATATCTCTTCCAGCTCCAAACCCATCACTGTATTCACTGAATTATACCATCCTGATTTAGTGAAAAATAATACGATGGACCCAAGTTGTAAAGTTATTAACATACAAAAATATTGCCAAATTAAAATTGCTTAGAGAATAATATTTTGGCATTGTACCTAACTAGTACAGAATCAGAATCATCTTTATTACGGTCACAGACCAGAACCACAAACAAAAGTACGTTAA